TGCAGACTTACATTTACTTATCACCTCCTATAGGAGGTCTTTCGACCTATATTAATCCTTGCAGTTTGTAATACTGTGGTAGTCCAATCTCGTTTATGAATATATCAACAGAAGGTGCTGAATATCCTTGTTCCGGTAGAGAATTACAGTAATTCACTACTCGGTGCGAGAAAAAAAATCCCGACGTTAAAAAGACTTGATCTCGGTTTTTGAACTTTTTTCGAATCTCCTCTCAAACGATCAGTCCTAAAAGGAAGTAAAAGATAAAGCATGTTAATACCAAGGTCATCGTTCAGTATACGATAAGACAATATTAGATCACCCCGTATTCTACGGTAAGATAACGGAAAAAAGTTGAGGTGTCTCCGTCTGTCTTCATAAGATAGGTCAGTTATACCTTGTACCATCTTAGTATTTCGTCGTTAGACTCTTTCCAGCATCTCTGCTTCATACTTGAAACAAGAACTCGCTGCTTGAATCTCATATTCTAAATGTGTTGGCACATAAATAGGGTATAATAGTCAAACATTTCATCATCTAAATACTGAAAAGACCTACGAATAGACCATAATACCCCATAGCCTTTCGCAGCAGCAGCCTTACAGTGACTAGTGGTTCTGAGATCACTGCTTAATATGACTCCTGAATCTTTATAGTTTCTTAATTTGGGTAGCACGAATCCAGATATTGTGCAGTGATACGATTCATCATAGTTATTTAATTGCGTCACCACACTATTATTATGATTTACTTCTAGTGACCACCTGTCCAACCATGCCACCAATGAGTTGAGATCATTCTGTAATACCATTCTATCTGACATGCTGTGTATGGATCTCTAAATCTTTATGTCATCGGCGAAGAGTAGAACGGATGATTTAGCTACAGTTGGTAATTTATTTACATAAAGTAAAAAGAGAAGATAACCGAGGATCGTGCCTTGGGAACTCCACTTTTGCAGGTACCCACGATGAGAGAGCTTCATTTACTCTTACCCTCTGCCTTCTATATGGAAAAAGTCTCTTATCCAGTCTATGACCGTATGATGAACTCCAAAACTTTCCAGTTTGAATTTAAGACCAGAATGGGAGACCATATCGAACGCCTTACTTAGATCCATGAAAATCACATCTACAGGAATATTTTGATATTTTGCAGCAGCTCAATCCTCTCTTGAAGTGAAGGAAATTGTCAAACGTGATAAGCCCTTCCGAAGACCATATTATTCCCCGGATAAAAGACTGTGCATTTCTACATCACTTTTACAACTGCACTAGTTAAGCTAACGGGTCTATAATTACTAACTAAATCCCTACTCTCAGCCTTATACACTGGACCAATTATAGCGTCTTTCCAGTCTCTGGGCAGTCTGGACCGCCACAAAGATATATCAAATAGTATCGCTAACGGTTCAGCAACTACATCTGATATGGCTTTCATAATCCTAGGATGAATATCATCAGGTCCACTGGACTTATCAGGTATGAGATACTGAGGTAGTCTTAAGACAGTACCTTTCTTAATAACTACATGGTCCATCAACAAGCCGCCACAATCATAATGAATCATTGGTCGTTCCTCCTTATTGATAGAAAACACTTTGCTGAAATGTTCCTACAAAGCTTCAGCCTTTTCGGTATTGTTTCCTTCTAATATATGATTTTCTTGTGCCAAAAGTGATGGAATCCCATCACTTATCTGAGTTCGCCTTTTTATATACAAGAATAACCGTTTCGGACTATATTTACAATCCTTAACCAATTGTTTTTCATATGATCGTCTAGTCTTACTTATTAACGCTTTACAGGCATTCATAATCTTACAATAACTGGATCTGTACTGTTCTAAGTCAGTAGAGATGAACGTATTCCAGTGATTTTTCTTACGTCTGAGAAGTGTTTTGACTTGTTTGGTTATCCGTGGTGGACTGTTATTTGGTCTACGTGGTACCAGGTACCATGAGTGATTACCAAGTCCAACAGAGAAAAGCCTTGGTTTGGACCAAAACGTGTGGGTTTGGATACATGCTACACTAATGCATGCTCTATTATTGTTATCAAGAACCTACTATCAAAAAGGTTTATAGATCCTTCCGTGGTCATCTCAGTCCAACTAATATCAGGTGTATTAAAGTTTCCCATTATCAGTCATCTGTCATTTGCACTCCATAGCTGAATCTCCTCTAAAATAAAGTCATCAGCTAAGTAGATTGGACTGCGATAGATGACAGTAAGTATAGATGTACAACCTCCGATAGTGAGCTCACAGCTAATGACTTCACACGTTCCACTTTCATGGGATTCGCAAACAAAGGAGCGGATATTTATATTATTGGCTATGTAGAGAATAACGCCACCTACTTTCCTACATCTATGTCTATCACTTTTTAGGTAGTGATATCCGGATGATTCTGGAGTAATGTCGAAGTCATGGACTAGGATTAATTTACTAGACTATGAGCGTTGGCATATAAAAATCCTAGGGAGAGCGGCTTATCTACACAGTCCCTGGTGGCATTCGCTTCCAAGGCCTGACTGTTCGAAAACCCACTGATCAGAGATTTTTCTCACCGTTTTGTCGACGGGTTACTAGTTCAGCTAGTGCCGTCTTCCTCTTTATTCTATCTTTAAGAGACATATCAGGTCTTATTCGAATGTCGGTATTGTCGTGACCACGGGCACTACTTAACAGAAGATCACTTTGCTTCTCCGACCGTAGTATTACCTTAAGGAGTCTATATGGTCGGGGTTCAACACTATCGTCGGTCCTCTTACTTATCCTAATCAATTTTTTGACCTGAACCCCTTTAGAGTTATCTGGTAATATGCTACGGATGTACTCTCCGAGTTTCTTCAAATCATGTGCGTGTCTGATTTTGGGATCAGGATCGTTTGATTCTAGGAAATTACTCACAATAATATATTGTCATAACAATAGATTTAAAAAACCCTGTTGGGATTCAATAAACTTTGGGGAAAACAACAAAATTTACTTAAAAAATCCTCAAAATTTCCCCACAATAAGAAGAGTGAGTGGCACCTCAATTCCTAATAAAGCATACTGATCCCCTATTTAATTTTGTGTATGATACTTCAATTAGTCTCACTTAGATCGTTGATTTCAAATATAAAGCACGAAATGTAACAGTAAGATTATATTTCATAGAAACCTAGTTTCCCTATATTGGCAAAACTTTGGAAAATTTTAGGTAAATTTTGGGATTTTCCACAAATTCGTGAAATGTTTGGTAGTTTTCCCAAACTTTGGGGAGAAACCCCTAAGTATTATAAAATTCTGGGGAAATATTGTGGAAAACCGAAAATTTCCCCAAAACCGTAAATATGTTCACGAAAATAGGGAGATTGGGAACCTATGTATCGGCAAGACAACAGAAGGTGCAAATAAATGAACCGATGGGGATTGTGGACCTGAGGCAGTATAGTTTAATGCAACTCAGCTTGTTGTATAAAATAAGTAATGTATAAGAAATGAAAGCACATAAAGACGGAGTACTAATATCTATACAAAAAATATACTATATATACGAGTGAATAGTTACGCTCATGAAGTAAGTACTGTAATCAACATAGTTGACAATGGTATATTTATAATCGGGTTTTCCTTGTTTATATATGAATGTCTCAGAAAGGAAATACTAGGAAAAGACTCTCCACACACTCACTGCGTGGTCGAAGACTGGAACCCCTTACTTAAACAAGTGTTGAACACTTTCAAAAGGAAACTGGGTCTCCACAAGAAAGCACACTTCAAGGACTGGTCTATTTGAACCGGATAACTATCCATATTACTGAGGACTGGTTATATGAGTAGGTAAACATTGGTACTCAGAGTAGTGTCTTTCAGATATAGCATATAAAATTAGTTTATGGTATACAGGTATGTCGTCACTGTCGCTTTCGGCAGTGTACTCCACAGGTGACAGACTCTAGTTCTACAAATATACTCATGTGTTTTGTGAGTGCGATTTCGTGCTTTACCTTAAGTCGATATCCTCCTAAGTTTAATTTTGTATTAAATCGTATAAGTGATATGTCACGGTGAAGAGTATTATGAAGGATATTACTCTTCATGATCATACTCTTCCTTATCTATCTGATCTGTTTATGAAAACGACAATATGTTGATTTATAATTTAAATTTAGTACAGCTGAAAGTATATTTAGGAATCGAAAATTTAAAATGAGAACAAATTTTTGTCTCTGGTCAACGGATCCTAAGTGCTTTGTGTAGACAGCTGTTGATAAACACCTGGGGATAAACACCGGTATCTTCTGGATGATGGCTTTCGTAGTTCTTCAGGTTTCCGCCCCATACAGTATATATATATATATATATATATATATATATATATATATATATATCAAACCTAATAGCAAAAAACTGTATGGACGATTTTCTTGCACAAACCAATCTACCTGTAATCTGTCAATCTAATATGTAACATGTAAACCCTATTTTTTTCAAACAATCATTATTGTTCATTATATGTGAAAATTATATTTGAAATATTCTAAGCGATTGAAATTTAACTAATTCCAACGTTTTGTCCAGCTAACTTGTCTGATTATTACCCTGAAAAAGTCCAGACAAGTTAGCTGGACGAAACGTTGGAATTAGTTAAATTTCAATCGCTGAGAATATTTCAAATATAATTTTCACATATAATGACTTCTCTCTGTTCGACGCTCAATTACTGTCAAAACTATTCGTTCTAATCTTGACAAATATTCGTATAAATCATTATTGTTGTTGTTTGTAAATCACAAGCAACTGTAATTTTTCTATTTGTCTGATTGAAAAATCTTGAAATTTTTTGAAAAACAGTTTTTTCCCAATAAAATAATTCCAAGTGATATCGATTTGAATCTGTAATCAAAAGTTGTTTCGAATTAAATTTTGTTATTTTTATTGTTACTATATGCCCAAATTATATTTTTACAAATCTTCATTTTAGATTGACTTCATTTGATTTCATTTAGATGGAAATGACCTCTAACGATGACTTAAAGAATTATTTGAGAACAGCTCTAGATGATGATGGATTTTTAGGTGAAATTAAAGCTGATATATTGAAGAAGATTTTTAAAAAAATAAGGAATCAATCACCTGAATTGAAAACATCTCCTGCTTCAGATATTCATTCAAATATCAAATTACTCATTAATGAATTAATAATTGAATATTTAAACTTTGAAAAGTAATGTCAAAAATACTGCCTATATATTTTTTTTAGTTTTATTTTCTCTTAACTCTCTTATCATAAATATTTAGGCATATTCTTATAAAATATCGTCAGCACAAACTCTGAGGCGTGTGAACACAATCCTATTACATCTGACAACTTTTATAGATTTTGATCTGAGTTGAACATTTTATGGATACATAATAATTTTGATTCCTTAATATATTTACTTAGTCAGTTGGCCAGTGGCTATATGTTCTAAAATCTGTTTGGTTGGGATTTGACAGTTGATTGTATAAACAAGTTGTCACTTTGTGTATTCAATTGGTCATCAAATCACCAGTGCCAGAATTTTACAAAAAGATATCGTGTGTGCTGATGTTGTTTTATGATGTATTGGCGATACTACTTTCATAATGTCCCCACATATTTATCTCAATAGTTGAAATCATGAATCAATTGAAGCTAAAACACCATGGAAAACCTGGAAGCACTGGACAGTCGTTCCGTCCTAGTATGGGACTCCTCAGCAGTGCGCATCCACGATCCCGCACCCCACGAGATTCGGACCAAGGACCTATCAGTCTCGCGCGCGAGCGCCTAACCATTAGACCACTGAGCCGGCCTGCATTCAACGGTGTTAATGTCTAACTTCAACCAATCCACGAAGTTGCGCCACCGTACACCATTGTCTTCAGTGAGTTGATATCTCACAAAAGACCTGGTTGAAATCCACCTTTGTTTGACAATTAACTAAAAATGTATATATCTTCTTGGGTAGAAAGGAATAGAGTAGCTCAGTGGTTGTAAATCATTTGATTTTCAGTTGAGTAACATTAATAATCTTCACATAGAAAGTTGATTCACCTTAATTGATAGAAATCAACTCGTACTAAAGACGATAACATTGTAACATTAGTCACTAGTCAATGATCCATCAGTATAAAAATCACAATCCTACAGAACGCCAGTTGTAGGCATGAATAGTTCAGGGGTAATTTCTTTGACTATCAAACTGAATGATATGGGCTCAGATTTCATGTAAAGCGTTAATTCAATCGGAAATGAACAGTGTTTTTCTTATGATTATCTAGGTAGCACAAAGCCTAAGAGTCTAGGGTATCCAACCATCTATCACAAATCAATTTACATACAAAAAACATCAAGTAAATGAAGTCAATATATCAAATATTTACTTTTCTTTCGAATATGAAAAAATATTTCACCGTCTAAATGCCATTATCAGTTTAGGGGTTGTGGAGATTGTTAAGTTTTTGATTGAGATCATGAACCGATTTATTTTAGACCATCATTGAAAACCTGGAAGCACTGGACGGCCGTTTCGTCCTGTTGCGGGACTCCCGCAAGCGGGAATGTGGATGCGCACTGCTGAGGAGTCCCACAATAGGACGAAACGGCCGTCCAGTGCTTCCAGGTTTTCAAGGATGGTCTAAAATCAATCGGTTCATGGTCTCAATTAAATACCATTAGTTTATTACAGACATACAAAATATTTTAATACTGAATACATATTTATTATTTTCTTAATTTCTCTATATTTTTTTCAGTTTATCATTTACAGAATCTGTTTTTCGTCAAGAGTCTGGTCATGGTAATTTACACAATTTACCTAGACAATTTCTATGTCAAACATTACAAATTAAACCAACTGTAAATATTAAATCGTTAATGCTTAAAAGTCAAATAATAATAATAATAATAATAATAATAATAATAATAGTAATGCTGAAAACCCATTAAATATCAAAAATCTTCTACAGAATTAATTGAACAACCAATCCCTTTATTATTCTATATTGTACATTATCTTATGGTAAATGGTTTAGATAAAGTACATAACCATGAGTTATGCAATAAAGATTTTTCAAGTCAAGAACAAAAATCAATCACTAATGGTCGGTCTATAAATAATCGAAATAATGAAGATGATTACAATCACACTTCTCTCCAAAATACACAGAAGTCCTTTCATCCAGAACATATTTTAATTCATGAACCAACTGATAATACAAATTGGATTAATTCTGAATCTGATTTGTATTAATCTTTTATGCAATCGGAATAAACTTCTAATACTGTATATATTTGCATGTTTCTTTAATACTATTGTTGTCATTTATTTAATATCTTACTATCCAGTTAACAGAGATGTCCACTCTCTCCATTCTTGTTTAATTTTTATCGTTGACGTGCTTTTAGAGATAACACTTTCCTCATCTAAATTTCCAGGAGTTGAACTTTTACCGGGAGATTCACTTGCTGACATAGTTATATTTGGTGAAGACGCTAACAAAATGCAGTATTCTGACCACTATAAAAAACAATGCAAGCATGTTCGGGATGCGATTTTCCCCCTCGAAATGCAAAATGTTGCTTTAGGATTGGGTTGCATCGACACTTGAACTAATGACAGGGAGTGAAGTAGTTGAATGTGTCGACCACTTCACTCATCTTGGGAGTCTCATCGTCTGGTATGAGACGAAATCTCAGCACGGATGCAAAAGGCTCGACTAGGTTTTGCCAACTCGCGTCATTTATGGCGTAGGCGAGATATCCGTCTATCAACCAAAGGACATGTTTACTGCGCAGCAGCTCGTTCCATCCTACTTTATGGCAGTGAAACATGACCGGTAAGAGTAGAGGATATTCGTAGGTTACTAGTATTTGATCACAGATGTCTTCGTAACACTGCTCGTATATCCTGAGACCATCGAGTAAGTAATGCAGTTGTTAGGAAACGGGTACTAGGTAAGGATGGCAAATCAATTGATGAAGTAGCGAGACTTCATCAGTTGAGACGGCTGGGACACGTGTTACGTATGCCCAACCACCGACTGCCTCGACGTGCGATGTTCAGTGGTATAGGAGTAGGTTGGAAGAAATCTAGGGGCGGCCAGACCAAAACATGGCACAAATCCATGAAGTCACTGAAAAGTGGACTGAGCCATGTTGATAGGTTTAGACTACCTGGTTGAGATCCGCGAGACGATAGCAACCGATGGCTAGACACCTTGGATGACATGGCTCAAAACCGTTTACAATGGTGCAGGTGCATCTACTCTTTGTGTTCTCCCAAATTCTGATCTGAATTCTTCATGTCCTTTATTTTTCTCTTTCCAAATTTATTTCACTGGATTATACTCCTTGAATAACATCTTCAAACCCTAATCTTTCCGATTACTGCTTATACTCTTACTACATCTACCACTACGGGATTTAGATCGACAACTGCATTCCTGTGCTAATATGGTATGGCAACTCAAACTGATGTACGTACGTACGAACTTCCACGTTGTTACTGGCTGACTATTTCACTGTTAATTTCTATAACTAAAGTTGGAACGATTTTAATTTGTAGTCCTTTTACACAAGTAGTTGATATGACAATAAAATTCAACTGGAAAGCACGGGACAGCCGTTTCGTCTGAGTATGAAGCTCATCAATTGTGCGCATCGAACTCAGCAATCTCTACAAACCAATTACAATAATAATAGTCATGTACTCACCAATGATTAATTTCGTTAGTTAATCCCCGCAGTTCTATTGAAAAGTCATGACTCGTGGGGTTCAGTCATATCGAGCGTTAAATATTGATGTAAGAAACAGTTTGCCCACACATATAATTTCTAAAAAAAGTCGCCAAATTATCTTTTATAGTTGTGGCAAGACTAAACTCAAAACAAGTAGAGTGTATGTTACCGTCCACGTTTTGTTTGTTTTCAAAATAAAAATAATACAACTAGTACAAATAACGTGAAGCAACACGGCAAACTAGAATTGATGAAGGAGAGATTCGAATTTAAAAGCAGACTTTGAGCTAGACTATGGTGACCTTGAGAAAATCCAACCAATTATTATAGTGTGTGGGGAATCGGGATTAGAATTTAAAGTTAAAAGTTAGGGTTTCGAAATTACATTCAAGATATTTATCATAAACTGACATCAGCTATTATGCTAAAATTATATTTTGTCATATGGATTAATGAATTTCACGTGAAAATCCAAGAGTATATCGGATTAGTTTATCCATTAATTATAGTCTCGTTCTAATTGTCGTCTTATCCAATTAATTATGATACATCAATTAATCAAAAACATTCTCTTCACTTACACATATCTACATATGAAACCTTAGTAAAATTAAATTATGAAGTCTAAGTTGCAGTCGAATACACATTATTGATCATCAGTGCATTGTACTCTGATTATGGTTACCATTTCCGCCTTTGTTCGTTAAGTAATATTATTTCTGTAAGTATATATAATCCAGTTTCTAATTTAAATTGATAAAACTGAAATCAAACGAAAATTTATTGACATTTCAATAGTTCAGCTAGCATTGATAGTATAGAATCAGTTCAATTCATTCATTGGAATGAATTTGCCGAAAAGAGAAGTATTCGCCGAACTAATCTTTCTTATTTAATGTCTGAATGGATGTATTCCGTTTATTGTGATTTTTGTCCAAATTAAATCTAATATTCTAATTTTAGTCAGTAATAAGTAAATGAGGGAAATAAACTGAAAAATTACTATTTAGTTCATCTTAAACATAATACTGAGTAATCCTGACCAGTTCAGGTTTTTATTAACGAGCCCATCAAAGATAAATTCTTTCGTAAATATTCAGATCTATATAACTGGTTGTCACGATTGGAAAACACATAATTTGAATTTCAAGTCATACATTCATAATATGTCTGGCCTGATAAATGATAAACATTTACGTATCTGATACAGCATCCATTTCTCTAAGATTGCAAATACGCGTTGTCGATAAATTTCAACATTAGAGTCAAAAAGTCTTTGTCAACACTTGATTCCAAGCCTTGCCGATGTTGATTTTAACCCGAAAATTCTGAGTTCGATCTCCAGTAAAGTGTAGGTGAACGCTACTGAAGAGTTCCATAGTAGGTCGAGATTTTTGTCAAGTCTTTCCTGGTTTCCGATTATTTTTTAATTAATGTTAGTTCATGATGTAAACTACATGATTCAACAACCTATACAAACCACCTATATTGGTAATAAGCAAGAAAGTTTAAAATGTCTAATCGTGAGGCATCATTGAATATATAATTTCTTTAAAGGATCAACTTAAATGAATGAGCATTATTCAAAGTGCATGAGAACTAGATTACAACACAGTGTGAGTGTTTTTTCACTTTATAAGTTGTTAGTATCTGTTTGACACGGCCTCTAATTTATAGATTTAAATTAGAGAGGCTTTTAGTATGAACAAAGCTTTGTTAGTAAAAATTGTAAAGAAACGCAATTACTAGTATGAAAATGATCAAAAATTCGTATAAAATGTAACTGTTTGTGATCATCAGTTCTATTAGATTCTGGAAACCCCATACGTGACAAGTTCCAGAAATGATTGATAATAACATAGACAATGGTGTACGGTGGCGCAACTTCGTGGATTGGTTCAAGTTATACACTAACACCGTCGGATGCAGGCCGGCTCACTGGTCTAGTTGGTCAAGCGCATGGCGCGAGACTGATAGGTCCTGGGTTCGAGTCTCTCGGGTGCGGGGTCGTGAGCCCACCGCTGAGGAGTCCCATATCAGGACGAAACGGCCATCCAGTGCTTCCAGGTTTTCCATGGTGGTCTAGCTTCAATTGACTCATGATTTCAATCAGCGAAATAAGATAGACTACAAACACTATTGATAGTTAGCATAACATGATACCAAAAAAGATCAAGAAAGAAAGAAATTCAGTAATTGTAAGGTAGATTTCGCTCACTTATTGAGTTGGAAATTCTCCTAATTAAGTAGGTGAATGAAAAGATTCACTTATTTGAAGAAATTCACTACTCCCATGTTATGGTAAAATTCATTAAACCACTTTTATCATTAAGAAATTTATCCTGAGTTTACCTAATTCACACAATATTGTTCCTCTTCTGATTTATATGTTAAATTCTACTTCATGTTTTACTACTTGCTTATGACTGTATTTTTTGTGAATTAAGAATAACAATCTGAAATGACATACTTATCTTGGCCGATTTTAAGTTGTCTTAATTAATAAAGATATAGAGTTATACTACTACAATTTTCCTAGTACTATGTAACTAATTTCGTGTATTTTTTTAATCTCCATCATGTGATGTTTTTCTGTACTAAAACGAACTTCTGGAGTAAAGTGCTTCTCGCATATTTTGGGCCTTTTCTCTCGTGTTCAGGTCAGTGTGCAGTTCTAGCTTGGGGGTTACGAGAATAGTATAGGAACCGAATATAGCGTTCAATTGTCAAGACTTATCAATAATATTGACAAGTTTAATACCTCAACGCTTGACAGTGACTTTAGCCATCTTCTAATTCTCAACAAATATCTTCCATTTAAATTCTAGACCAAATACAAAAAGAGGAAAATATGAAAAAAGTTCAACATCCGGATTCAGTTTAGGCGAAGAAAATAAGGGTAATCATAGATTTATCTGTGACTTTGATATTCCAAGTTTCTGGGATCAAACTAACCTTGATAGCAAAAAGGTAATCATCCAATCAGAGTTTGACATTTATGAATAAATATAAATTATCTGAACTTTTAATGACAAACTTCTAGATGAATTCCACTAAATACATAAAAATGTAATACGAACCTATGACGGGTCTTCGACAATGAAAGATTTAAGTTTAAAAGAAGTTTTGTTTGACATTAATTAGTGGTTGAGTTCAGGATTTATAATTTATTTCCTTTCAATGTTCACCAGTTGAACTCATCTATCAAGTAGTATAAGATCTATATGATAAATCCATTACTATCAATGTTGACTAAATCTTGAACTAAAAAAAACATTATGTGATACCAAGATGCTCAAACGAATATTTTATTCAATCCTGAAGAGATATATGTGTTAATGATAATTAGATATTTATTAAGCTTCTGATCTGTTTGGAAGATCCAAAAAAGCTTATTGAAAAAGTTTAAAAAAAACTCTGAAAACACTGAGAAGCATCTTATCCAATTAGCAATTAGTAGAAATTTTTACCGAAACATCTAGAAAGTGAAAAGTCACATGTAGAATTTCTGAT